TCTCCCTCTGGGGCAGGGCACCAGATGGGTCTTGGGGAGGTCAGCAGGGACCTTCATCCCGCTCCTCCTCTCCGGACCCCCAGGAACCCAAGAGAAGGGGCATCTTCCGTCAGATTGACAGTGGCAGCAACCTCACCACGGACCTCATCGTGCAGCGGATCATCACCAACAGGTGCAGCTGGGTGGGGGCACCTCGGAGCCGCCTCGTAGGCGCTCTCCGCTAGACTTACCCTGCCCTCCCCCCAGGTTGGAGTATGAGGCTCGAAATCAGAAGAAAGAAGCCAAGGAGCTGGCCTTCCTGGAGGCCGCCAGGCGGCACGCGGCGCAGCCCCTGGGGGAGCGCGATGGCGACTTCTGACCTGGCGGAGGCCCCAGCCGGCCCTCCCCCTGCTCTGCTTCTCACCTTCTGCATTTGGACATAGGACTCTGCAGGGCCGCCCTCTCTAACTGGCCTGGCTCTGGAAGGGCTGGTGACGACTCTGCCTCCTGCCTGCCTTCGAGGTGCCTGGTTTGCAGCAGACTCTCCACCCTTTCCAGCGAAGCTGCTCAGAAAGGGCGTCCAGCACAGTGGAGAGGCCGGCAGTGAGACGGGCAGACGGCACCTGCAGCCCGAAATGCAGCACTCCTGCGTGCGCCCCCACCTGGTCCCCGGATGTCCCCACCACCTGGACAGAGGCCACACTGACTGCCCACCCAGCTGTGGCGGGAAGTGCAGAGCGGAGGGCTTTAGGGAGCAGCGACTGCGGTCACCCCTTTAGTTCTCTGGGTGCAGACCACAGCACCTCCCACTTGGCATCCCCCAACACAGTGTCCTGCCACCCGGCGCCGGCTCCAGGAAAACACGCTTGCCTTCATTCCCGGCAGCTTCGCCGCTCTCCTTATGGACTCTGTTCTGTTTGTACGTGGCTGATGTAAATCTCTTTGGTACAACCGAATAAAGCCTGGTGGCACTGCTGCGTGGGGCTCCCAGCCCTGCTGGGAAGGACCAGGGAAACACCCAGCAAGCAGAGCCTCTTGGCCCTGCCCCGACCATGCACCCAGCAGCCGGGTGTGCAGTGGGCAGCCTGGCAGTGAGTGAAACCCTGGCCTCCAGCCCTCCAAAGTCAGGGGCCACCCCCTATAGCAGGCGATGCTAGAATAGGAAGGAGAGCTGGGGCTGAGGCTCCTTGCCCCTCGGCCCCTCCAGGGGCCATGGGATCTCTGTCTCCTGCACGCCTGTCAGGGCCTGCCTGGGGCAGCCCAGAGGCTGAATAGACTCTTACTGCAGCCTCCGGGATGTGTCTGGGGAGCCCATAGATTGCCTGGTCTCGCCGCACTCAAAATGAGGCTTATGATCAGGACTTTTTTCAGCCCCACACTCCTCTCCAGAATGGGCTCTGCCATACAGCACCTGACCCATGTGGGGCCTCCAAGGGCCTGTCCTCTGCTGTTGTGAGGTCGACCTCATGACCCAGCACAGGAGCCGGAGGCGAGGTGCACATGAGGCTCTCCACAGCCCAGGAAGGCAGCCTCTCACCCTGCTCTCCGAGCCAGGGGCCAAGGTGTGAGGGGCACAGGCCATCCTCATGCTGTCAGGCCCCTGCTTTCAGAAGTGGGGTGGTGCCGATGCTCCCACTCAGACCCCTGGGCTGCAGGGTCCCCTGAGCAGAGGGACCAGTCACTTCCCCATAGACAGATTGGTGCGGGACAGGGGCTGCTTGGGCCGCAGGCTTGGGGAGGGTGGAAAGGTCCCACCTGTTGCTGCCTGGGCCCGGAAGTGGGCCTGGCCCTGTTCCCTTAGAAGCATTGGAGGCCAGGGCCCAAGCCAGTGCTGGAGTCGCACCCAACTGCGGAGGGAGAACCCACCTCTCTCCCACCCTCAGCTCTGGGGAAGCATGCTCTGGGTCTCTGGGGCCAGGGCTCAGGCCCCCAACTCTCCTCCTTGCCCCTGCACCCTCGGACTTGGCCTAGCCAGAAGGGATGGGGGCAAGAGGAAAGCAGCCAGGGGCTCCAGCCCATGCCCTCACAGATTTGCCTCTCGAGTGGGGGAGCGAAGGGCTGGGGAAGACACTGGGGACCAGGCCAGCAGTGCCTCTGCAGTTTCCTCCAGGGGGCACCAAGGTTAGGCGCGGCTTCACCGCGGGGCTGGATCGTGGCCAGCTTGGCCCCTGGGTCTGAAGACCTCTGGGCGGCCCAGGCCAACCTTGCCCTGCCGCCGCACACTCGGCTGCCCTCTCATACCCCGGCTTGGGGACTTCCAGGTCCCGATCCCCCCGTGGCCTGGCTCCCAGTCCTCCAGTACCCCTCACTCCGAGGCCGCCTCATTATTTATTTGTTTACCATGAACTGCGGGGTGGGCGGAGTAGGGGAGAGCAGGGGCGCCATCCCCAGCCGGCGGGGCCTGGGGTCCCCCAGTAGGACGATGGCGGCGGGGCGTCCCCAGCAGTGCCAGGAGAGGTCCGGGTTCCGGGCTCAGGGGGCGCGGCAGTCGGCTGAGCGCAGGGACAGGAAGACGTCCGCCTTGCACTGGAAGGTCCCGCGG